CCTTTATTATTTTGACAAATAACTCAAGGCAGCAAACATACCCAACGTAACATCCCTCTCCTATTATAAAAATCCGCTTTCTCCTTAGGTAAGGATCACAGAGAGTTATTTTCTTAGCTTGTAAGAGCCCTTCTAGCTTGGTCATTTCACATGCAGCTGTTAACATTAGGTGGCACCTAAGATGGAGAGTACCTAAAGCAGTGATGGCTAACCTTTTCAGCTTGGTGTGTCGAAAATCGGGAAAAAGTGTAGCCTTCCTCGGGTCGTGTGTCACTTCAAGAAATATCAATAATTTGGTTTATGACGGACTGGGCTGGGGTGATCACACAGGGCTGTGAAACTCGTCTCCCTGGTCTCAGGGCTGCAGGTGCAGGATGTGGGGATCGGAAGGCCACCTTACAGGGCTGTGAACCTCATGGATCTCCTTTCCTCCTGTAGCGTTCCTGAGGTAATGAAACTGACAAACCTCAGTTTATGGTGGTTAAAACTGGTTCTCTGCTGCAAAGATCTCGCGGCAGCGGTGACACCACGCCTCCACGCAACAAGCAGGGAGCAGGGATTGGAGCAGAGCACAGGCAGCCTCTAAATGTGCAGGTTTTCCCCACACCAACAGGCGTGTCAGTCAAAGTGCCTCGGCATGTCACGAGTGACATGCGTGTCATAGGTTAGCCATCACTGACCTAAAGTGTCAAATGTTCAAGAATTGTGTCACAAATTCAAGAATTCTTGCAATCCAGCTCTCCAGCCTTTTCTTCCCCTCAGGTTTTCCCAGGTCTACAGAGCCTCAGCTGGGAGTGAACAGTCTGAAGATAAATGTTTTCCCTTGCAGGAGAAAGCAGTTTATTACTTTGACCTCTCTGGCAATTTTTCACAGTTCCTGTCAGTATTGGTTAAGAATCCAAGACAAAAAGGCAGATGTTATTTGCCTCCACGGTTTGGAAGAGGCCTTGAAACGAAGCCAAGCAAAGTCAACGGGAAAGCCGGATTCACTTAACAACCGAGTTTTACTAACTTAAGGACTGCAGGGATTCTCTTAACTGTGTGTCAGGATCCCAGCAATTGCCCTAATTAAATCATGATTCTCGAGCCAAACTTCAACCAACTTCAAAAGATTTATTAGAGGCGACATACTGGCAATGCCCTGTATGCAGCCAACTCTGGTTTACGTAATTTACAGTCCCCTGTGACCCTGTTTCCCCCCTCCCAGTGTGTCATAAATCAGATTCTCCAATTAAGCACATTCACCGGCTGGATGTCATCAATCTCCAATTATGTTCTCCAATTACGTTCTCCAATTAAATATATTCCTGGTATTTTAGTTACAATCTTTTAAAGATAAGAGTTGGCATGTACTTTTGCTTTCAACTGCTCTTCCAGATTTCCTTCCTCCCACCCGCTTTTTTTTCCTATGGCACCTACTAAAACAGGCATAGGAATGTTTTATGAGTTGACGCTGTGGCAAGAAAGGTCCTAAAATGGAACATCATTGCTCAAATGATGATGGAGGATGCTGCAGTGGTCGCCAGGGAGAAAAAACAACCGTAAGATCCTTTTTTTCAGTGGTTGTGACTTCGAACGGGTCACTGAACGGATCATTGTAAGTCGAGGACTACCTATAACGGCAGAGTGGGCCCTTCGAGAAATTATAATGGAGCTTCCACGCTGGAGTGGGAGCTGATCGAAGGCTGGGAAATCCGCCTCCCTCCGCCTGCCCCCAGTCTATGAACTCAGCCACTTCGTTGGGTTTCCAATTAAGTGATGCAAATCTTGCCCTTTTGCAGCGAGCTTTTAACGGGGCCAACACGGCACACGGCAGGCTTTAAAGGAGCCCTCAAGTCTTTTTTCCCTACTTCATTTCATCTAAATCCCCTTCCTTTTAATGGATCCCAAAAAAGGGCATTTTTGGTCCTTAGGGGCAAAGGACAATTAGTGCGGTGCTCAGCCTGCATTTAATTGACTGTAATCCTTCCAAATTTAGGAGATGCCTTTAGTTTTTACATTTTGGCAGTGAAAAAAATCCTGATTATTGTTATTTTCTTAGTATGGTTGGTATGTATCCATTTGTGTGTGTTTGTGTGTGCATGTGTATATACAAATACATATATGTATGTATCTGTATATATATGTGTGTGTGTATATATGTTTGTGTGTCGCTTTGGATAGTGAAATGAAGGAGGGGCATATACATTAAATAAATGAGGAGGAGGAACAGCACAGAATCAGATTTGTGGAATTCTGTTGTTATCGCCCATCTCAATAAATGTAATTTTAATTTTGAATTAAATTAATTTTAGCTTTTCTGTGGAATTGGTGTTCCTGGCCTGGGGAGGCACACATCTTTTAAAACAAGTTTGGATATCTGATGTTCATATTTTAGTTTCTGGTTTGAAACTCTGTCCCATAGTAGCTTCTGGTGCATAGCAGTAAAACAAAATATAATTTATTCTTTCTGTTTCTCCTCCAGTTAGCACCTGAAAACACTCTGATGTCCTTCCAGAAGGCAGTGGAGGAGAAGGTTTACGGTGTGCAGGCTGATGTGGTGATAAGGTAAGTCTTTCTGCTTGCGCTCGTATTTAAGGCTGGAGTCTCCAAACTTGACACCTTTAAGACTTGTGGACTTCAACTCCCAGAATTCCTCAGCCAGTTGAAGTCCACAAGCCTCAAAGGTACCCAGTGGCATGGCTGGCTGAAGGATTCTGGGAGTTGAAGTCCACAAGCCTTAAAGTTGCCAAGTGGCATGACTGGCTGAAGGATTCTGGGAGTTGAAGTCCACAAGCCTTAAAGTTGCCAAGTGGCATGGCTGGCTGAAGAATTCTGGGAGTTGAAGTCCACAAGCC